TCAAGAAACACATCTTACAAACGATTCTATAACTTACTTAAACAATAATAATAATAAAGACCGTAATCCTAAAGAGAAGCAAAAACAGTTTGAAGAGAATAATCTTAATGGGGAACATATTTGCAAAGCAGAAAAAAAAAATAATTCTAAACACACCACGGTATCAAACCACAACTGTCACCCCTCACCCGCATATTCAGACATACGCGGGTAGGCCGATGGGAAGAGCGCCTTCGGTGGACCCAAGTCAACAAGTGGGTATTCAAAACCACCGAAGGGCCCGGGGCTGAGACACCCAGAGTCGGCAGCAGTGTTTCCTCTAAGTATTGTTAAAGTTGGCAAAACGGGGCATTAAAAAAAAATCTAGTGAGTGCGCATGAATGAAAACTATCAAGGTAACTTCTTGACAAGCATATATTCGGGTGACTTCTAAGTCGTAAGCAAATTGGTAATTAATTACTTGTGATTCGTAGCCTTCGCTTTGGATGGACCGGATTTTTTCTGGCACCGTGACCTGCACGTGTAATCTCCCGGGAGCTGCAAGGTGCAAAAGGCATTTCTCAGAGCCACACCCCTCACACACAGAGAACCTTGTATCCCATGAAGCATCAACTCTCAGCATGACTATGTATTCAAATTCCCACACTTCGCCTTCCTTTCCCGAAGCGGAAGCCTTTCAGAGAGAAATATGCCTGTTGCTTTGGGATTCTTGACCAGTGAGAAGGATTTGTGAATTCTGAGACAAAACCCTAGCCCTTGGAACAAATAAGCTCGCATCCCGCCCCCCCCCACCCGCTTTCCAACTCGTGGCTATTAATGTAGCATCATCAACCTAAAGCAGGATCTAAAACTGGAGGATTGTAGGAGCCAAGTCTGCCCACCCTCGTTTCTCATTTCTCAGGGTCTTCGGGTTTGTGGGAAAGCCCTGAGCATCCTGTCCGTATTTCAGCTGTTGAACGGATGACCTGGGTTTGTGCAGGTGCGAGCAATCGCTGGGCACCCTGGGCAACCATGATGGAAAGGCAAACAGAACTGACATCCAAAGGCCCCAGGACGGGTTGTTACTCACTGCCTTTTGTTTGGGGCTCGCTGAGGCGGCCAAGCCCACTCAGCCCACTCAGCAGAAGCAAGATGCGCCACATGGTCTGGCGTCCTGGACCGAAGTCCCGGGGAATGGCAGTTGGCCTGCTCCGGGCAGTTGGGAGCGCGAGGTGAGGGCTGTGGGCGGTACAGCTGTGTGCTGGCAGGCTTGTGAGCTGCTCTCTGAAAGCTGGCCAGTTTTGAAGAACTTGCTGGGTTTGAGTGCTATCTGAGACCAAAGGAGGAAAAGGGGCAGGGGAGGGCCAAAAAAACAAAAAACAACAACAAAAAAACCAACCCCATAGAGAAACAGAATCCATGCAACAGCTGAGGAGCCGGAAGGTGCATATATACTTACGTGAACTTTTATTTATTTATTGATTGATTGATTGATTGATTTTTCGAGACAGGGTTTCTCTGTGTAGCTTTGGAGCCTATCCTGGCACTTGCTCTGGAGACCAAGCTGGCCTCGAACTCACAGAGATCCGCCTGCCTCTGCCTCCCGAGTGCTGGGATAAAAGGGGTGCGCCACGAAGGCCCGGCAGAACTTTTAATTCTTAACAACAATAATATGTTATGATATCTAACAGGAATTTACATATTTATGGGTAGTGTCAATCATAGATGGACATTCTGACTACTATCCAAGGGACCATCATTGTAACTACCACCCAGATCCACAGCTAAGAGAGAACCACGCACCCACAGTTCTAGCTTGTTCTCTGACAATTCTAACAGTTACAGACTAGTTTTGTCTGCCTCAACTTTGCCCAGAAACAGCAAAACACTTGTATTCTTCACATCTAGGTTCCTGGGACAGAGTAATTGTAAGTTCCACACACAGCAGCAGTCTACAGCATAGTGCACATTGAATATATCACCGTGTGTTTGACATTTTCTAGGAGATTCCTTGTGTGTGATTTTGGTTTAATACTTAGGTATTCCTACTGAGTTTATTTCCAGAGAGAAGTTACCTGGTCAAAGTGTATGTCTTGTAAATACTTCGGAAGAATCCTTCGAGATTATGCTAATAATTTACATCCTACCAGAAGTGTATGCTGATTCTAGATTCTCTGTCAGCACCGTTCCTGTTAGTTCTGTCAACTTGACACAGCCTAGAGTCACCTGAGAAGGGAGTCTCAGTTGAGGGATTGCTGAGATCAGATTGGTCTGTGGGTGTGTCTGTGGGTGTGGGGGGTTGTCTTCGCTGTTTATTGATGTAGGAGGGCATAGCCCACTGTGTGGTCCTGGGCTTTATAGGAAAGTTGGCTAAACATTCTTTTAGCCAAATCTTTGCCTCTCTTTCATTGTACACAGAACTTGGGAATACATTCTAGATAGGATCCCTTTGGAAAGACTCCAAGAAAATCTATTTAAAAATGGCACCTGAACAACTCTTTAACCCTAGTTAACCCCGTGGCTGCCAGAGCTACATCAGTTCAACCATAGTCCAAAGTTCCCCAGAGCTGACCATGATGGTATTGTCTTACATAACCTAGAGACCTTTGCCCATCCAGCATCACTTACGACAGTATGACCTTCAACATTGGAAGACTTTTTTTTTTTTTTTTTTTTTTTTTTTTTTTTTTTTTTTTTGTGATGCTACAGGCCTAATTCATTAGGCTCTGGAATGTATGAGGCATTCTGTTGGTTTGTGGGGGATTCCTGCCAACTTGAACCTGAGCTGCTGACCTGCCCATTGGAGAACCACCTCAGAGCCTTCTTCCTTACAAATGAGTTTGCCATTAGCTAGCTAGGAAAATACTGTTTCCTGGACCATACAGACAGCATGTTTGTCTGGCAAACAAGCCCTTCAGTTCTAAGGTCCAAAAGGGTGGAGGTGATCCTAGTGTCGCTGTAATCTAAAGCCCTCCAACGGCTGGAGAGATGGCTCAGTTGTTAAAGGCTAGGCTCTCACCCAAAAATATAAGCCCTCCAAGGGCTTGTCTTAGTATCAACAAGAGTGCTGGCAACCACATGGCTATAGCTGTCCCTCCATTTGGTTCCCAATCTAGAGTTACACATGCATATATATCATATACTATATCTTATAATATATACATGGCTATGGTAATATATTATTTATGATTTATTAAAGCCTGAGAATTCAAAAAGCAAATTTAGCTACAAGCTATAGAGGTCAGGCAGTGGTGACACACATCTTTAATGCCAGCAGCCATAAAGCTAGTTGGTGATGGCACACACTTTTAACCCCAGGACTCAGGATTAAGAGGTAAATGGAGCTCTGTTAGTTTAAGGCCTTACTGACTACACAAAATTGATCCAGTCCTAAAAGAAAGTGCTTACACAAAGGTGATCTCAGCACCTTTAATCCCAGCACTAGGGAGGTGGAGACAGGAGTGATATGGCTGGCCAGAGAAAGGAATGAAAAAGGAGACAGGAACTGAGAGCTTTTGCCTCTGAGGGTTCGTGGAGACAAGATTGCCATTTCAGCTGGGTAGAGGTAAGATCTACTGGCTTGGCTGCTTTGCTTCTCTGACCTTCAGCTTAAAGCTTGAACCTCAGTATCAGTCTCTGGGTTTTTATTTTTTGTGTTACACACAGCTAAATAGATATTAACCACCACCAGCATCTGAGTGTTAACTACTATTGATGTTCTCTTTAAAGCTGAGGGAACTGAGACACAGGAACCCATTCTCAATATCACAGCAAGGAAGCAGCATATCAGATGTTTATGCCGGCTGGTCTGGTTCCAGATTTAGGAAGCAGATTCTCAACACAAAGAGCTCAGCCATTGGAACCAAATGTTGAGGTCCCCAACTGGCCAAGCTCCTCTGGGCAGGTTAACAGAATGAGAGGGTGCACCTGGAGTAGTAAGGGTGTGTATTGGGGGCTGTGTGTGTGTGTGGGGGGTGGGTCTGTGTGTCTGTCTCTGTGAATGTATCCACGTGCGGCAGCAAGAAGAGACTACACACCATTGAGACTGGGACTTGGTCAAGGAAGAGGCAGCTGGGAAACTCCTATGAGAGCATTCCCAGCTTGGATGGAAGGACAGGAAAGCCTGTCTTGTACGAGCGCAAGATTCAAGGAGAGAAAAACTGGAGGGTAGTTAATAGGAATCATGGGATGATGGGGCCAGGCTGGGTAGGTCTCAGAGCATGGATTGTATCCTGGGGGGAAGCTCTGAGGATCTGACAGGTGGTACAGACAGGAGGTTGCTGCTATGGGACTCTGGTGCCCAAAGCAGGACAGAGGGCAGACATTTGCAGAAGACAAGATCAGTGAGATCTAGAGTCTCCCTAGATGTGAGGAGGGGAAGAGGGGGCCTTTATATGTGTGTGTGGGGGACACAAAACTAGATCAGCTCAAGCCTGGCTAGTGGTGGCTGAAACTCACTTCCTCAGACTCCATAGCAAGCTTCAAATACAGTTTGCATCAGCACCTGTGTACACACGGTGTAGAAACAGAGGTTGTGGACCACCCACAGCGTCCTCCAGGAAGGCTCCCTGGACAGAGATGGTCTAGGTCACACAGCACCCTGGAGACCCATGCCAGGCATCTGTTCATTGGAAAGCAGCACCCGCCCCCCCCCAACCCCCTCCAAGCAGTTGCCTGGCTTCTCAAGATCACAAGGAACTGGAACACCAAGGTCTAAGCTTTATTGAATGAAGATCCGGAATCAGTTGCTTCAAAAAGACCAGGTTTGGATTTGACTGCAGAGCTACCAATTGGCCTGCCCCTTGCCTTCCTGACAGGGTGTGATCTTTTCTTTGATAGTGCAGTCATTCTCAGAGAGTTAATCACACACACACACTTTCTCCTGAATCTAAGATTACATTGCATCTGATCTCTTTCATTTAAAGAAAATCACTGGCTGGCAAGAGAACCATGCTGGCTGGTTCTGAATAAGGTCATGTCCAGAAACTAAAACGTATCCCCAGCAGAGGACATGCTACTGGCTAAATCTTGGAGGTCACTGATGGGTTCTTTACTTCAGTCTCCAGCCACTTGATAAGAATCTGGTTCAGTTCAGCAGGTCTAGAAGGGGAATAAAGGACATGTCAACCTATGTGAACCCACTGTCCTCACGAAGGCAGTAAGATTGATTTTTTTTTTTTTTTTTTTTTTTTTTGGTTTTTCGAGACAGGGTTTCTCTGTGTAGCTTTGGAGCCTATCCTGGCACTCACTCTGGAGACCAGGCTGGCCTTGAACTCACAGAGATCTGCCTGCCTCTGCCTCCCGAGTGCTGGGATTAAAGGAGTGTGCCACCAAGACCAGGCTCAAGGCAGTAAGATTGAAAAGACCTGGCAGGCCTGAGCTGGGAAGAGCTCATAGGTCAGGTGAACAGGGAATCATGCTCTCCTCACACAAGGACTTACTTCTCTATCTGTGTCCAGTGACCACAGTCCTCGATGTGTCCCCTTTTCAGGTAAGGAATCTGAAATAAAAACCCATGCAGGAAGATGAGCCACAGAACCCAATTGGTTTGGAGTCAGAGTAACACACAGCAGAGGCCATCTTGGAAGGGACCCCATTCTCTCAGATTCCTATAGACCATCCTTTGAGGACCCTGTGTCATTTAGGACAGGAATGAGGAGTGGCAGAGTTTATTAGTGTAGGGGAAGGAAGTGTCGTGGGAGGGATGGTGATGTCAGCAATGAAGCTGGGTCAGGGAGGAGCTTTAGCTGGTCCCCATTCAGCCTCTCAAGGAGGATATTGTCCTCTGCTGCCTCCCTCTGGGCCACCTGTGTCCTCTTCCATGATACTCCGATACCCACTGTGCAGGGCCACCCCCTCACCCAGTTTTCCATGTTCTTGGACATTTGAGGACGGAGTACGATGTCCTTTTCTGCTGTGACCATCAAGGCTGGGACCAGGATCTGCAGGGGAAACAGGTAGTAAGGAAAGCTGGCGCTCAGTCACCCTGATGCCATCTGTGTCTAGGGAAGGATACCTGTGTATCTGCCACTAACAGCTCTCACCCCCACCCACCCCATGAGAAGATCTTTGCCCTGCCCCGGCTCTGTCTCTGCCAAGATTTTCAGTGAGGCGTCATCACAATTTGGATCTAGCAATGCAGTGGTGTGTGAGTGTGTGTGTGTGTGTGTGTGTGTGTGTGTATGTATGTTAGAAGAGTGGGTGGGAAGCTGACCTTGTATCTCAGCTCATAGACTCATAGAACCAATTTAATGGCACCAGGAAGGAAGCTGGAGATCCTGGAATGAAGGACAAGACTCCTTTTGACTTGAAAAGATATGCCAAGAGCTGAAGAGAGGTCTCAGTGGTTAAGAGCACAGCTGCTCTTCCAGAGGATCCACATTCCATTCTAAGGACCTGGGTTTGGTTCCCAGAACCCACATGGTAGCTGGCAACTATCTGTAACTCCATTTCCAGTTGATCTGTCATCTTCTTCTGGCCTTGGAGGGCACTGCGTACGTTTATTGCACATATAGACATGCAGGCAAAACACTCACACGCATAAAGTAAATCCTTTTTTTTTTTTTTTTTTTTTAAAAAGAGGAGCCAAAATTCAAGAGCATGACTGGAACAGCCATGACAGTTACCTGCATGCTACCAGAAGGAACAGAAACAACTCTCTTTCCATGTGCTGACAAATGAAGGGAGCCCCGGGGATCTTGCAAGCTGGAGAAAGCCTCAATACTCTCTTTTCACTCTTCTGCTTTTTACCACTTTCTTTTCCTTTCAGAGCTAAGGGTAGAACCCACAGCCTCATACACATCAGGCAAGTACTCTTCATGGAGCTGTGGCCTCCACCCTCTTAACTTTAGTCTGAGTCAGTGTCATGCTGAGTAGTGATCCCCCTGCCTCCGTCTCTAAAGTAGCTGGGATTACATTCATGCACCGTTGTCTAGCATTTCTTTTATGGTCACTTCTAAGCAGTATCAGTCTGACCTAGCAGAGGACTCTGCAGAACTCCATGCTTCTTGACACTCCTTCTCAGGGCTGTGTGATGTTCAAAAGAGATTTTGATGCTGAAACTAATTCCAGCCTTAAAAATCCAGCCTTAGCATGACCCTCTACAGTGTCCTCCTCATTTCCCTCCACACTTTGACCCCTCTGGTCTTTGGAACTGAGGCTTAGCCATATGTGTCAGTCACAGATGACTGTAATATGATGACCGTGAGCATTAGCTGAACAGTACCTGAAGAACTATTCTGCTGGGACCCTCTCTTAAAGTGTTTGGTGCATTGACCCACTTCCTGATCACACAGCTCTCTGAGGAGTTCACTGGCCTTGCAGTTTCTTTACTGCAGAAAAGGTAACAGAGCCTCAGCCTGGCAAAGTGACCTTCCCCTGTCATGCAGGAGTTGGATCAAGCCCATTTGCAAACACTATATGTAGAGAGGGAAGGAGATAACTGGGCTCTTACCGTGGCTGATGAAGGCTGGCTCCTAAACTGCTGTGATGGTTTTAAAAATGCAAGTTTTGATTTTTTTAACATTTAGGGTACAAAATTATACTTTTTATAGATCCAGAGGTTGAAAACCATCATCTGACAGACAAATGAGGAAACTCAGACTCAGAGACAAAACCAAAAGGTGACAGAATCAGAGACAAAAGCCACATCTGTTTAAGAGCCCCACACGCCTCTGTGGTTTGGTGTCATTGTTCATATTACCGCCACAAGTGACCTGGCCAACCTGTAGCTCTGACCAGGGCTACTGCCAGGAGACTCACACATCCCATATAATGCTGATAACCCTGAGGTGAAATCGTGATTGTACAAATAAAGTCTGTCTGAAGGTCAGAGAATGGAGCTTGCCACTAGCTAACCATAGAGGTCTGGAGGTCTGTACATACAGACAGGAAGGGAGATAGCTGGGTGGAAACAGGATATAAGCAGGGAGAAACAGGAACTCGCTCTGCTTAGACACTAAGGAGGTAAGGTGTGGCGGTGGCTTGTTCTTTCTTCTCTCTAATTTGTCAGCATTTCCCTCTATTATCTAGACCAATTAAGAACTCCATTTACAGGAACCTGCTCATCCTCAGCACCAGAAGCCACTATTCCAGGGGTCTTACAAGTAAGAGTCTCTAACAGGAAGCCCTGAGTGGAGTCCACCCCGACCTCAGAGGACAGGAGGAAGCCAAGGGCCCGGTGCAGGACCCAGGTCATGTCAGGTGGGAGCAACAGGAAGCCTTAAAGGCAGCTCTATGAGGCGCGTGCGTGCGTCTGTGCGTGTGTGTGTGTGTGTGTGTGTGTGTGTGTGTGTGTGTGTGTGTGTGTGTGTGTGTGTGTGTGTGTGTGTGTGTGTGAGCAGGAGGCTACAGTGCTCACCTTCCGTCCCAATCCCTTACAGCTCCACTTCCAGTTTCTTTCTGTGTTCCGATACCAGTTCAGAGGACCCCTGTGGAGAGGATCAGACAGTAATGAAGGTGAGTTTCCAGCAGTTGACCACTGTTGGCCCACAGTGACCCATGCTACTCAGACACGCTATGCCAGAGAGGGTGAGTGCTGCAGGACATGAGCGTGTGCAGGACAGACACACAATTCTTATCCTATCCACACCTGCTGCTTCCTCAGTGAGAACGAGTGCAGGAACTCTCTGCCACTAGGCTGGTAGCTCCAAGATGATTTGGGGGCAAATGGAAGCTGACCCTACAGGTTATCCTCATCTTCAGGAGTGTACCAGGGAGTGGGTGCTTGGGGCATCCCACCCACACCCAGAAGCCACTTTCCTGCCCCAGGAAACTCAGTGAGAAGGGACATGGTGGGCAAGAGATGGTGCAAAGGCACTAAAATGCATGCACATTTGGGTTTGTGTGGTTTTTGCTTCTCTGAAGACAGAATGCCTAGCTTTCCTGATTCTTGGAGGAGCTGCAAAGCAATTAAAAACCTCTACCTTTTGGGGAATCCATAAACACAAGAAAAGACAAGCTGGATACCCCCAAAGGAAGATGCACAGCATAGGTAGCGAGCCTTCTGGCACTGGGGGCATTTGATCACACACAGGTCACTGTGGTGCTCACAGGGGCTGTGGTGAGTGTAACTGCCCCCACCCCCGACAGCTGAGCATCCCATCCACCCTGTCTGGGGTTCCCTTCTTTTTACCTGAAGCCTGACTTCTTGAACTGCTGGACATAAAACTCGATTTCCTCCTCAGTAGTAATCTTGCTGAGGCTGGGATTTTCTGGGGTGTTCACAAGGAGTCCCCCTGCAAAAAGACACCTGTGTCCTCTTCCACTGGGGGCCAAAGGGTTCTTCTAAAGCTGGTGTTCCCAGGTCAGGCTGCCCCATCTGAACTCATCGTGAATGGCTCATGTGCCTTTATGTCTGTCCATCTGCTCTCTCTTCATTGACTTCCTTTTGGCCAGGAGGAGCACCAAGCCATGAGTCTGGGCTCTTCCCTACTGTGGGGTTCTTGTTATAGAATGCCACATTGTCTTCAGAGACATGCAGTGTCCTGGCAGTGCCCTTTAAGGCTCCTCAGGGACAAACACATAGTTTTCATTCTACAGTCTTCAAAGTAAAGGGCACAGTCACTCCAGGCTTCAGAGCCAAACGTCAAAGGAGTAAGACACCAAGATGGTGCTCCTGCTCATCCCTCTGGGTCCCAGACCCATTTGAGCATCCTACCCCCATCTGCATATCTCATTCTTTACTGCCAATCTGCCTCCCTGCACCACCCTGAGCTCTCTGTGGGCAGCATCCTCACCCAGGACTCCCCATACTCAGGTACTCAGGACCATGGAATCAACAGACTAACAAGGGATGGAAGAAGAAAGAAGGGAGGCAAGGAGGCAGATACCCCAGCTCAGCCTGCCAACACTGGTCAACCTTCTGAGACCTACTTCTGTTTGTAAACGAGAGATCATGTGAGAGGCCACAGGTCCAGCCCTAGAGTGTCAGTGACCATTGTTATTAAGAAGCAGGTGAATGCTCTTCCAGAGGCCCTGAGCTCAATTCCCAGCAACCACATGGCAGCTCACAGCCATATATAATGAGAGCTGGTGCCCTCTCTGGCCTTCAGGGAAACATGCAGACAGAACACTATTCATAATAAATAAATCTTAAAAAAAAAAAAAAAGAATCAGGCAAATAATGGCTAGGAAGCAGTAGTAGGAGTGAAGCAAGAATTTGGGGGGCCAGTGCTGGGTGTTGGGGCCTCAGGAATGAGTCTGGATCTGATTTCAGTTAAATCCCACTCAGCAGGATGACCAGATGGTCCTCATGAAGGAGAGCAGGAGTGACTAGAACAAGACCTCGGGGTGGAAGGTCAGTGGAGATTTCGGTGGGCAGTGCAATCTGCCTTGTGCACATTGGTGACTCTACAGCAGCCACCTCTCCATCCTGGGATGGGTCCTTACCAGAAAGGGGTGGATTGCCCCAGATACCCTCTCCAAAGTCTAAAGCATCCTAGTACTTTGGCACTCAGCTCTCTATATGGTAGACTAGGGTAGCACCATTAATCGTTAGGAGACCTCTGTTAGGCAAGTCAAAGCTCAGAACAGGAAGGCAAGGTTAGGGCTTCTCTGGGAGCAGAAGGGACAGGAATCCATTAACATTCAACTGGTGTGGCCCTGCTGTCCCTTCCCTCCTAGGGATACATCTTACCCATTTCAGTGGCTTTATGCACAGTGAGTAAGCCCTGTGGGAAGAGAAGTTAGGGAGGATGTCATGAATGAGGCAAAGTCAGAAGACTGCAGCTCAGATCTCCATTTCAGCAGACCTCAGGTACATGGGGACCACAGGAGAATGTTTCCATGTGGGGATACATGCTAAAATATACAGGCAATGAAAACGAGAAACCAAGGATAGCACAAGACACTGGACACTGTGCTCTGGGCATATCCTGTACTTGACAACTATGATACTATTTGATTCATAAATGAGGCTACCATGAGATAAGCAGAAATGACAGCCAATACCAAAATAGAATAATTATGGCAGTGCTGTAATAAGACACCCCATGTCCATACAGCGCAGATTCATGCCAGTAGGATGGTGTGGGATTTTGTTACTCTTCTCAGTGTGGCAGACAATTTACACCTTAGACTTTGTAGAATTTTCCCCTTTAGTATTATTGGATCATGGGTAACCAGGAATAACTGAAATCATCGAAAGTAAAATAGCAAAGGGGCCATGCTATACTACATATGATACCCCTGAGAGGCAGCAAAGGGGCCTGGAAGGGTCAGAGGAGACAGCTGAGTTCCCCATCCACAGCTACTGCAGGCATTTGCAGGTCTGAGTAATGGCTTGGGCTTGTCAGCCAGTGTGAGCAAGAGATGAAAACTCAAGACTTACAGAAGGTGGGGACTTAGGACAAACAGCTCCCTGCCCTGCCATAGAGAAAATCTGGAAACCCAGGGCTCCTCAGTGTGCAGAAATATCCATGAAAAGGTACAATGAAAAAGTCTACCCATGACAGGCAGATGGAAAATGTATTTGCTTCAGCTCAGTACTAACAGCAGGCCGAAAGGTGTCCCTACAATTCCATCATCAGAGGCCTGCCTTCCTAGGCTTGTGTGTTTGAACTTACATCATTGTGATCTGGAGACTCACTCCTGTGGTGTGAGGCAAACAAAGAAGTGAGCCTGGTTGCTACTGCCACCAGAATGTAGGACAGAAATAATGATGAGCCACCCAAGAGAGTAGGTCCAAAGTCCAAACAAGCAGGCTGGTATAGGTTAAATGTCACTACAGATGAGCTCATAAACCAAAATTATAACACACTTAAACACACACACACACACACACACACACACACACAACCATCTCTCACCTCTTACCATTTCATCACTTGCTCGGAAGAAGGTTTTGAAAGTCCGACTCATGTTCTTTTCCAGTTCAGCCTCAGCCACTCCCTAAAACAGTCAAGAAAGCAAAATTAAGGATTGCTTCAAGAAGCCCTGGAAACTGTAGTTCTTTCCCAGTGGACTAAAGGCCCTGAGCCCTTAGTTTCTGCCCCATCCAGCCCACATTTTGTTAGAATTGTATTCCTTGGATTTTTGTTTTAACTGTGAGATGTATGTTAGGGAAAGATTAAAATAGACTATAAGATGCTAATGGGGGTGCTTCTGAGGAGGGGCGTTTGAGGATTTGCTATTTTTATTTTGCCTGGATTCCGACTACGAGACATGACTTGCAGTAATCAAGGACGCTGGTACAGATTTACAGTGGTGGTGGGGCTCTGAGAAGATAGGCAGTGTGACATCTCTGTTCACAGCTTGTCTTCACACTTCTCCATTTGACTGCAGTAACTTCAACCATCTTCTTCAGTCCCATCCTAATCATTGCAGACCTTTGGAATGCTATCAGTGCTATCTCCCTACGGACAGGGCAGCAAATTTCCTTTGTTAGAAGCTGGGACACATGTCCTTGGTGGTGATAAATTACCAGGTTCTTCCGTCTCGAGAGAGTGTTATTACAGATAATTGCTTATCTATTATAGGCTACGACAGGCTCTCAGACACCTCATGGTCTGGATGCCAGGCTGCAGGAATAAGGAATTAGTAGGTGGAGGGGAGCACAGAGGTACACACCTCCCAGCATCTTTTTACTTACTTTCCCTCTGTAGCATCCTTCTTTTAAATTTAACATACACAATTAAGAGTTTATTTATGACAAAACAGAGATGATGATCCTGTAATATGGATGAGAAATGGGCCATTGCAGATATAGCCAAATGTCAGAAATATTACTTCTGGTGTTCATTGGGAAGTGTTCATGTTTACTAATTTATCTTGTGAATAGTGTTTAATTCCACAATGTTTCAAAGAGTTCTTGGGGAGTCTGGCAGGTAGCAAACACCCCAAGAATAAAGCAGCATCAAGGACTATAAAGAAAGTGACAGTTCACCCCGATTGCCCAAAAGGCAACAGCTTGTTTCTACTGAAGTGGGGAGCACTGGAGCTGGAGTGGAGATGAGTAGGACTTGGCACTGCAGATGGAGGAATGATATTCTGGTTTGAGGAAAGAGCTGGAATGCACAGACTTGCTGAACTAGAATGGATACAGTACTAAATGTTATGTCTGGAACGTGAAGTGTCTCTCACAGGAGGGCTAGAGAGACAACTTAGTTGACACACACTTGTCTTGCAAGAATGGGGACCAGAGTTTGATGCTTAAAACCTGTTTGAAGAAGCGGAGTGCCCTGGGCACACGTTTGCAAGCCCAGTTATCAGAAGGTGGAAGCAGGTGGGTGATGGGGGATGTTCTTCTGTATATATGTTTCTCTTATTGGATGATGGATAAAATAGTGATTGGCCAGTAGCCAGGCAGGATAGGCGGGGCTATGAGAGGAAGGAGGAGAGAGAGGGAAGCCTCGAGAGAGACACCATGTAGAGACAGGGAAGATAGGATGTGCCAGATGTTCTCTGGTAAGATAAGGCCATGTAGAAATACATAGATTAGTAATTATAGGTTCATAATTAATAGAGAGAGATAGCCAGTAAGAAGCCCTAGCCATCAGCCAACAGTTTATAAATTAATATAAGTCTTTGTATGTTTATTTGGGGCTAATTGCTGTGGGACCTGGCTGGAAAGGAACTCCAGCTACAAAATGGCGCCCAATGTGAGGCACAAACCCATGACCCTGAGATTAAGAGTCTCATGCTCTACCTACTGAGCTAGCTGGGCCAGATCACAGAAGCTGTGCTGCAGGTTAATTTGCAGACTCAGCATTAGACTACAGAAGAGGCAGCGAAACTCAGAAAGGGCTGAGGAGGAGTGCAGGGGTGCTTGCAAAGTTGGCTTTAGGTCGTGGAATGCCACAGCTGGCCAGCTGTGTGGGCTGATCAGCTACAGGTGGTCCCTGGAGCTTGCTGCCTAGCCAGTCGGGTCTAGGTAAGCAAGCCCCAGGCCAATGAGAAGAGAGAAAAGGGGCTTCTAATAAAATAGCTGGGTAAACTTAGGGTAGCTTTCAGAAGAAGTTCTAGAACATCTTGGAAATGCCACAGAATTGGGTGTGTGCATGACATTTTCTGGGCAAGAGACTGTAACTTTTGCTAAATCCTCCATAATTCAGCGGAGACTTGATTACAGGCTTTATAGCTCTAGGCTTGGCACTGGGAGCATCTCCTCTGGGGTAGATGCTTAGAATGAAGGTCCCCAGCACCTCCACAGAACAAAATTTCATTGTACCAACATCCTCCAGTGGACCTGCACCCCAGAAATTAATGACAGCACCTGCCCAGTGCAGATGATGTCACAAACCACCTAGTGGATGCCCCATACCCTCATGAACATCAGCCCGACATGAAGTCTAGACTTAGTACAGAACTGGAGCAAAAGGTCACACTGGGCCACAGAGGCACAGCCCAGCACTGGGCAAAACTGATCACAGCTGATGACGTCATATGGTTCCTACAGGAATATAACTAGCTCAGAAATAAAACTGGCACAAAACAGGACTCACACCAAGGGCACTCCTATCATGACGGGCTTTTCCCACGAGGGCTGGCACCTGAAAAAAGGACATGCTGCTAAGCAGACGCCCTTTAATCCTACAAACACCAGGTGGCAGATGACGAATCAACCCAGGCCTTGGAGAGCTAAGGTCATAAGTCAGTGCTGGGGCTTAAGTCATGTGTGTTGGGCTCTAATGCTGGGCTCAGGAGCACAGAAGGAGCAGTCAGGACACTGCCATTGTGAAATGTAGCCTTCCTCTTTGATAACTTTAACTAGATAACACAGCTGGCACTCCAGGAGCACAAGCCTCTCCTCTCTGGCCCTCACCTTTACACCCACTCCCTGTTGGCTTGATGGACTTTCAAGTGAGTGGGCAGAACTATTTACCTGTAAGCTCTCTGAGTCTTAGTGCCTTTAGGTATCTGTTTACTCTTCTCAGCACCATGTGAGATGAGAGCTCTGTGGAGGCCTCTGCAGGGCCCCGGACACTGAATAGTGTCCCTGTACTCATCCACAGCAGCTGCTTCTGGGGTGAGGTCGGCCCTCGATAAATAAGAATCCTGATGGAGGTCGACTTACAGGCAGGGCAGGGCTGTCATCCATCACTGCCGGCCTACAGCCTTCCGTTGCTATTTCTTGCCTGGCATTCATCACCTTGCAGAAGGCCTCCATTGATTCTCCATTGTAATCGAATCTTACAAATGAGTGGGCTCATAGTTAACAAGTCACCACGGCTTTCCTCAAAAATCTCCAACTGCAAATTCAGCATGGGGCAGGGATGATCAATGCCCCCACTCCTTCCTTGCATGGGCACAGATCCAGGGTCAATCCATCTCAAGGGGCACATTGTACAGAACCAAATAAAGATATCTCTCCAAGTGGCCAGAGGCTCAGGATCATGCTCACCATGTGGCTTTGTGCATGTGGCTGTAGGATCCTCCTTTCTGAGATCATTGGTTCGGCCCTACTATCGACCAGGAATCCACAGATACTGCAAGAGTGAGGTGAGCCCTGGCCCTCAAGGTGAGCCAGGAGAGCACACACACACACACACACACACACACACACACACACACACACACACACACACAAGATGGAAGCAGGGCTTTCTGAGGAGGTGCCGATTCTTGAAGGAGGCATGGTTTCCGGGAGAACTTCAGACTTGCTAGACCATGGAAGTGGCAAGCAAAGTGCCTATTAGGTTCAGAAGTCTTCCCACAGTCCACCTCAGTCAGTGCTGGGCTGTATAGCTCATTGGTTAGAGTGCATTGAAGATGGACTCTTATTATTTCTGATCAGGTGGCTCGGTGTTCTCAGAGAGTCCCTATCAAAGGTCCGACCCTATCACAAGGATCACCACAGTCCAGGGTTGCCTTTGAAAGGCAACTTTGTGGGACTTGTGCTGATACCTTGAACAACCCCACACTCTTTCAATACCCTCAAGTGCCTGCTGTGGGGCTCTTTGGCTGTTGGTGACATTTGATGAGGCTCAATTGTCAGCGAGCTGAGTGTGAGGTCCCTAGCAAGAGCCTGAGACCAGCAGCTTCAAGTGAGCACTTGGCTCCTGCTGCACACATTGCAGAAGCCAGGCTAGCAGCATCTCCTGCTCCTCAGCCAGTGGCCACCCAGACAGACACAGGGAAATGTTCACCTACTCACAGAGGCCCCACCGGGTTGGCGGTCGGTATGTCTGAGTTGGTTTGCAAAGTCGTTTTTAACTAGCCTCAGAATATTCAAAGGGCAGAGCTAAACTGAAAGAGAGAGGAGCAGGGGAGGTGGTTGGAGAAGAGGGGGAAAAAGGGGAGGGAAGAGGAGAGAGGAGGAGGGGAGAGGAGAGGAAAGAGGAGGGGAGGGGAGGAGAAGGCAACAACATTGTCCCTATCGCTCTTGGTGTCCCACACTTACTGGTTCTTGGAAGTACAGTTGGTAATTAAAAACTGGGATAGATTTGATAACTTCCATAGGAGGCACCTCAGGATTTGGTGGCATGAATGGAGTGTTCAAACTGGCCACGGCTCTGCAGGAATAAGCAACATTAAAACAAAGAGCCTGGTGAGACTCAGAAAGAACATTTCAGGTCAAAACTGAAGCTAAAGTGGGAAATTTCATGCGAGAAGTCTCACTCCGGCAGTGAGCAGGAGAATGGATTAGAACACAGGTGTTTTGATTCTTAACCTAGCAGGGTTTTCCCCACTCAGCTGCAGCTTTTTAAAAACCTACCTGCCTTAGACACACACATACATATGTGGACACACACACCCCTTTCTGGGAGTGATTGGAAGTAATCATTACCCAACTAAGGGCTAGAGGGCCTGAGACAGAACAAGGGGGGAACTGGAAACTCGGGAATGCTGGGGTGTCTCAGATCTGATGCTATTCAGACAAAGCCTCCTTTTGGCCAGTAAAATGTTTCTAAATTTTTGTTGGGAAGAGACTAAATTGAGAAAAGTAACACATATGACTTTTTTAAAGCCACATATTATGCTCGCGGCTATATTCCCATTGGTTTGTTCTCAACAGCATGTAATATGTTTATACAGTAACATTTTGGTGAATCTTATTGTTTAAGAATGTGGTAGTTTGAATGAAAAGGGTCCCATAAGCTCAGGGAGTGGCTTGTGGGAGTAGGTGTGGCTTGTTGGAAGAGGTGTGTCACTGGGGGCCAGCTTTGAGGGCTCAGAAGCTCAAACCAGGCTGAGTGGCTCACTTTTTTTCTCTGCTGCCTTTGGACCCAGATGTAGAACTCTCATTGACCTCTCTAGCATCCTGTCTGCTGCCTGCCATGATGATAATGAGCTAAACCTCTGAAGTGTAAGTCCCCCCCAAGTAAATATTTTCTTTATAAGAGTTGTCATGGTCATGGTGTCTCTTCAAAGCAATAGAAACCTTAACTAAGACAAGACTCAAACTCTTATTTTCAGTTTAAGTGAAATAGGAGTGATGGGGGAGGTCCTTCTGTATATGTTTATCTTATTGGTTAATGAATAAAGTACTGTTTGGCCAATGAGGCAGCAAGTTAGGTGGGACTAGGAGTCAAGGAGGATTCTGGGAAATGTAGTAAAGAAGTGGTGATCCAGGCAGGAAGTGACATAGCAGAGAGACTCATATGTAAGCAAGGGCAAGAAGGAAGTTGTTCCCTTCTCTCTTCCTCCTGGTCTCTGCTCTGGAGTCACTATGTGATCCATCAGCAAGAGAGGGTGCCAGCAGAAGGCATCCTCTATAAGTCTTATAAAATATATAGATTTATGATAATTAAGACTGAGCTAGCAGATGAGAAATCCTAGTCATTGGCCAAGCAGCATTTTTACCTGATCTAAATCTGTTTGTTACTTGGGACCATAATGTGGCGGTGGGCAGAACTTGGGCGGCCTGGCAGAAAGTGCCCACATGGCAGCAGGGATCAGGCAGCTTGGCGGAAAGACTTATTGTTATACAGGAGAAAGAGGGAAGGAAAGAATAGGGGTGGGGAGGAGATCAGTAATTCACACACTTTAGATATGTTTTTAGGAGGAATCAGGAGAGGTAGCTTAGTGAATAAAAGCACTTGTTCTACAAACATAATGGCCTGAGGGCCTGAGTTCAAATTTTCAGCACTCATGTAAAAGGATAGGCATGGCAGTAAATGCCTGGAACTCTCTGTATTGTAGGAGCATCGAGAGTCGGATCCTATGTCTACTCCTTAGCCAGCCTTGTCAAAACAAAAACAATCAAACAAAAAAACCCAGCTTCCAGTTGCATGAGACACCCTGCTTCAAGGTAACAAAACAGAGATAGAGAAAGAAGCCTGATATCTTGCTCTGGCCTCCACATATGGGCACACCACTTCCCCATATACTGACATGTATGCACAGTACAGATCCACAACACATACTACATACACACACAAAATAAAAAAAAATGTGTTTAAAAATAAATACAAATAAGGTATATGCTGGGAAAAATGCTTTAGGAAATTCCTGATTCATTTTGGTCTTTGATGTAATCCCACCATGTGAAGAGGGCTTTGTTCTTCAAAGCGTGACTATGTAAAAAGTGACTGCATTAGCTGAGGCTTGCAGACCACTGCTGCCTATATTCCTCCCACCTACCAAGATACGGGCATTGACTGCAGCTTTCTAGCTCAACTGGGTGTGGCTACGAGGTCTACTACACCCACTAGATTCCATGCCATCCAGACACTCCCAGTGGAGCCTTGATAATGACTGTGAATACTGTGGTGCTGACCATCACACACCATGGTCGCTGTGCACCCACACAGCATATCAGGATGTCGGTCTGGCTATGAGTGTTGGTGGTAGCTTTGTAGTTGAAGAAACCAAGGGCTAGGAGGTGACATAATCTGTCACATGGTCACTTCAGACAGAACTGAAGGTCTCTCTTGTTCTCACTCTTGTCTCTCTGTCTGTCTCTGTCTCTGTCTCTGTCTCTGTCTCTCTCTCTAGCCCAGAGTGACCTTAATTTAACAATCCTCCTGTTTCAGCCTCCTAAGTGCTGGGATTATAGGTATGTGCCACGACACCCACACCCACTTAAAGGGCACATTTTCTGACTCCTGGTCCAGGGTGAACTCTCTCCTTTTGCTTAGTGCTGGGACACTATAAACCCTTTATCACCTCTTTACCTACTTCACTGAGAGCCAACTCTGCACTCCCACAAAACACCCTGGCTCTGAATTCCTTGCCTTGTTATCAGTCATCGGGTCAGAGGCTGTCCCTAGGAGCTCAGTGGGTCTGCTTTCGGGTGTTTACCTTCCCTGTTACTTGTTTTCTAGAAGTTTTGTGGAGCTGAGGCACCTGTAGCAGTTCTTGGGCAACTCTAAGTCCAGCCACGCAAATCCTTACTGCACCTGGCTGCTTACCTCACCCTCTCAGGGTAGAAGAGAGCCATGCTCCATACCAACACACCAGCCCAGTCATGGCCAATGAATACTGCTTGAGGGATTCCCTGGAGAAACAAGAAGAGACATGGTGAGAATGGATTTCTAGGATGCAGAGTGAAGGGCCAAAGGCCTCTCCTTGACAACCCAGTGACTCCCTCAGGAACACTGAGGTATGTGCCATTCTTAACTCTTACCTCTCACACATCCCCACACCTCCTCACTTCTACAAGTAAGGACTAGGCTTTGGATTTTCTTAGAAGAAAGGACCACTAGCCAAGAGTTCTGTCTCTCTCTCTCTCTCTCTCTCTCTCTCTCTCTCTCTCTCTCTCTCTCTCTCTCTCTCTCTCTCTCACCCCTGTCTCTCAAATCAATTTTTGTTTCACCCCACCTTCCCTCTTTAGAATGATAACTTTCCTCTCCAGGCTCCAAGGTCATTACTCTCTGTGAGATTACAACTCTGCCCTTACTCTTCTGGGATCTTTTCTCTCTTAGTTATCCACAAGAAGTCCAAAATCACCTTCCATCTCTTCCTCCCTTTCTGCTACAGCTGCTGATGACAACACCGGCCCCCCTGACTGAATATCTACTCCATCTAGGTAGAAGTGTTCATGTACACACCTGGACACCTTCCAGTAGCCCACAATGGCTGTTACAGGTGGGAAGTGATCTGCCTTGTACCAAGTGATAGTCATAATTCCTACACGGGTCTCCCAACATAGGCTAAGTCAGGCTATTTTTCCTTCTCCACCGCTGCCCAGTTGGCTGAGGCCTTTCAGATGCCTCCAGCCCCTCCACGCCCTCTGAAGATGGCTTCTTGTCCAAGGTGCCTGCAGTGCTGTGTCCCTTCATGTCTACTATCAAGTCTCACATGGTGGCCTTTACCAGTCACCTCCGTAAGTGCCTTCACTAGGTCCCAGCAGGCTCCGTCCCTTCCTCCCATTTGAGGGAGCAGTTTTGTGTGGTTCTCTGGGCTCCCACCCTTCTGATGATTCTCAACATCAGACACTTCCATCATCACATCCCATGATTTCAGTGAGCCCGGGCTTCCTAATCTGATGTTTCCAACTTTCATTTCTCCTCTACCTTTTTTGATGGATTTTCTCATGGCTTAGCCTTTAGGAACCTTCTGCTTGAATAGGCATTGTCCATGAGGAATAGACCAGTTCCAGTTGCTTTAATTTCCACTGTTGGGGCAGGTGCACAGCTGGCCCTGTCAGATCTGTCTAGGGATAGAAACATGGCTCTACAAACCTGAAACCCTGAGTCCCTGTTGGAAACATTCCTGGTCAGCTAACAGTTTGTATATTTAGATCACAGACCTAAGACTGGACCCTCTCTCTCTCTCTCTCCTCTCTCTCTCTCTCTCTCTCTCTCTCTCTCTCTCTCTCTGTGTGTGTGTGTAAGACACACACACACACACACACACACACACACACACACACACACACTACTTCTTGATTCCATGGAGTGCAGACAGCCATCATCCTCCCGTGTTTCCTGCGCAGTGCCTACTGCTGAACCAGAAGTCAGCTGCCTCAGCTTTCTCTCCATCTTACGTCCAGTTACTAAGCTAGGCCCCCACTGCTTAGGGTCTCTCTGTTCTCTCTCTCTCTCCATTGCCATTGGCTAAGAATATTCCTCCTCCAGTCAGTCCTGCAGTGTTTGCATTCCATTCCCGCCTAATGCCATGAGGCAGAGGGCATGACAGAGTGGTCTCAGGAGTAGTACACACACTCTGCTGTTGACCATGGCCACTTTCATTCTGGGCACTGGCTTTGATCTGAGATTTGTCAGAAGAGATTCAAGTTTCAGTGAACTGTGAATTACTAGCTTATAGATTATTTTTCCCAAATCTTTCCCTGATACTCGAGGTTCCCCTCCCTGGGTGGAAGCCAACAAAGGGATTTCCCTTCACTTTCTTGAATGAATGGCAAAACATCTACTCCACCCTCTCCTTTCTCACCTTTGGCTATCTTTAATTTGGGGAACACCGTCCCCTGCTGCCTGAAGCCCATGTCTTCCCTTGCCCTGGTCCTCTCTGCTCATGGTCAGCAACAGCCCACCCTCCAAGGCATCCAGCTCTTCTTTAATTACCAAGATCCACACAGAATTCTCCAAAGAGGTCAGATAGAAGGAGTGACTCACCAGCTTATCCAGGAATGATACCATTTCCTAAAAAAAGAGCACACAGATGAGGCATCAGACAGAGAAGGCCGATAGAAACAGTCTGCCACATGTCACACACTGTCAGGATAAGCCTCAGGAAGACTGATAGGCTGTCAGTGGGTATATATGTCATGAGAGCACCCACCCCTTTCCTGAACCACAGTGGTCCCTCTGTCTCCTGAGACATTTTCAGTCTCTAATAGAAACCATGAGTTCTGTCTTGAGGAAGCACACATGAACACCATTTGATAGTCTACCATCACTTCTAGGAACTCATAGTTCCCAAGAGATCACAACAACATGGTGTCGTACCCTGCTGAACTACCCAAAACACCTTTCCACATTCTAATTCAACGCAGAGGTTACAGTGAGTTCAGTATCCTCTCCCAGACTCCATTAGCTGAGAATCATACTTGGATCATAAGGAACCTTGTAAAACATACAGCTCCAGCCATTCACTGTATCTTACACCTGAGAGCATGACCTGAAAAGGTTAAACCCGCACCAGAAGCCACACACATATTATAAGGGTCAGCTGGGTGTAGACACATCTCCAAACACCACTTAACTTTAAAAGTTATTATTGCTATGTTGCATCCAGAATTCTCAATTTGGAATCCTGGGGATATAAATATACAGGAGGTTTATGGGTAGAATAAAGGTTCCCTTCCTAAAATAAAAATCATGTTTATTGCAGCATACTCATGGAAGCCAAAAGATGGCATCAACCTAAGTGTCCATCAGTTGATGAGAGATGCAGAAAATTAGGGGTACATACACAAAGGTATACTAGTCAGACACAGAAGGGTGAAGTTGAGTTTTCTATAGCAACGTGGAGGACATGAGAGAGACGGGTAACATGTGAGCTCAATCTTATGAGGTCTAGAACAGTCATCAATGAAGCAGTGTTGAAGAATGGTTGGCAGAGGCTGAGACAGTAGATATGAGTTAGGTGAATATGAGATTGATCAAAGATAAATAATTACAATCAGATAGGGAGAGATAAATTTCAAGAGACCTACTCTATAGCAAAGTAACTAATTAGTGGTGGTGATATATTCTTGAAAAATGTCAGGCAAATGTCATGTGCTGTCAGTATAAAATGATGACTATGTGAGGTCATGCATCTGTCAGGTTCCTAGATGTGACCATTCCATAATGGATATTAAACATCAAAACACCTTGTCATGCATCTCTGTGAGGTCCTGCATCTGTCAGTTACCTAGACATGACCATTCTACGAAGGGTCTTAAACGTTTTGCTATGCATGACAAAACACATTCCTTGTCAATTATAAGTTAAATAAAAGGAGAGCCCAGCTTTACCAAAACTCAGAGTTATGTGATGAACTGCCACACAGATTTAGGAGTTGTAGTTGAGGGAAATCGTTTTTTTGCAATCGTATTTTTGTCAGGTTATGATGAGAACGTTTTATAGGCACTTGAAGACAAGTGGTGTTATGGGCCTTAATTCCATTTTGTTCCCCTGAACCTATATTTGAAGCCAATGTCAGCTTTTTAAATACAATTTTATGTTAAAATTGTTGTGGTTTTGAAAAAGAGCATTATGAATATAAGTCACATACATACCGTATAATTAGTCCCTTTAAAGTCCACTCTTCAGTGGGTTTAGTATAATCAGGGTTGTGAAACTGTCACTACCATCCAGTTAGAAAGTTCTAATTGCCATAAACTTTTAAATTTCCTTTTAAGGTCTAACGCATCAAGCATCACTTTCTCTTCTTGTTCCCCTGCATCTTGGCAGCCACTAATCCAATCTCCCTCTGGATTGCCTGTTCTGAACACTCCATACAAATGGAGTTACTCGGTATGTGGCCTTTGTAACTGACTTCTGCTTAATATTGTAGATTCCAGATTCCCTCATGCATGGAACCCTCCACGGCTTCACTACTCTTCATGACTGAGTAACCTTCTGGAGCATGGATTATGGCAAAGGACCCATCTACTCATCAGCTGATGATGTTTGGACTGTTTCCACATGAAGTTACTATGGATGGGGTTGCTTTGAATAGCAGAGCCTGGGTTTTCTCATCATTGGTTCTCCTGGGCTGGTTCTTAGTAGTACATGTACTAATAATACTTCAAAGACAGAAGCCTAGGGCTTTTTCTTTTCATCTTGTTTATTTTGGTCTCAGGACCCCACGCAGGAGTGCAGTTCTGTGGAACAACCCAATGCACCCATCCTGAGAATAGATTCCAACAGAAATAAGGTGAGTGGATGGGGGTGGAATGGAAGAAGCTCCTACAATGAAAAATGGAGGCAGGAGAATAGCCCCACCCAGAAGCTGGGCTTCTATCTGAGCTTTGTGGCAGAGAAGCCACAGTTCACATGCAGAGCTGCTGGTTGAAGACTCTCAGAATGTAATGGAGAGTGGAGTGTGGAAGGTTTTAAAGCTGGAAATGCTACTTATCAACCTTGGGCAGCAACCTTAGGCCGCCCATTTTATTTGGGAATCACACTTTGTGTTTCATACACGCCAGCCATCATTTAGAACTATCACCTTCGTGTTCAGTGAGATCCAATACGCAAATGCTGAGCACTGTGTTTTCTTACAGTTTAAATGGATACCCAGGCTTCTGGCTAACATCAGGGAGAAACTCAGGATGGAAACGACATTGTAGATGATACTAAAGAGGTTTCTTACCTTACATAACACTTCCATAGCATATTCTTCTATTTCTGTAATTAGAAATGAATGAATGAATGAACAAATAAATTCCAGGCATGTTTGCCCATGCCTTTAATCCCCAAAATTCAGGAGGCAGAGACAGGCAGAACTCTGTGAGTTTAAGGGTGTCCTGGTCTATATAATAAGACCTTGTCTTAACACACACACACACACACACACACACACACACACACACACACACACACACACACACACACTGACACACAAAAGAGATATGTGATTTTAAATTTATAAACAAGAAGTTCCTTTTACCAAAATAAATCAACAAACAAAAAGCCAAAAACCTCCCAATATGTTAATTGTGTTTACTTTTTAAGTTTTTGAGTTGGATGTTGAATATGCTATAAGATAAAAACCCAATTTGATTTTGTTGGATGTTCCTTACTGTCACTATTGAAGAGCTAGCTCCTCCTTGCAGTGTATTCCTGGCACCCTTGTCAAAGGCTAGTGTATTGTGTGTGGGGGCTGTGTAGTTGTATGTTGTGTGTGTGTGCAGTGTGTCTGTGTGTTGTGTGCATGTTGTGTGTTTGTGTGGTGCGTGTATGTGGTATGTGTGTGGTGTGTATGTGGTGTGCGTGTGTATGGTGTGTGTAGTGTGTGTGGTGTGTGTGTAGTGTGTGTGGTGTGCTGTGTGTGTGGTGTGTGTGGTGTGTGGGTGTGTATGTGTGTGTATGTGTTGTACATGTATGTGTGTTGTGTGTGTAGTGTGTGTTGTGTGTAGTGTGTGGGGGGGTATATTTACTTCTGAGCTCTTTAGTTTGCTCCTCTTGTCTGGACCTCTGTCTTCATTCTGGTATCATACCACTTAACTAACTACTGTGAACTTGGAATAGTGTTTGAAATCACAACATTTAATTTCAAATCCCTACAGCTTTGGTTTTTTTTCTCAAAATGCATTAAATTCTCTGTGGATATGTGTGGTTCTGCATGAATTGTAGGATTTCTCGATTTCTGTCTAAAAATATGCCATTTAGCACTTGGGAGGCAGAGCCAGGGAGCAAGTTTAAGGCCAGCCAACATACACAGTAAATCCCTGTCTTGGAGGGAAAAGAAGCCATCAAAACTTTGATAAGGCCTGCAATGTACCTGAAGACTGCTTTGGTGAGTAAGTGTCTCTTTTTAAAAACCAATTATAGCTATTCCAGTGGGCATAAAGAAAAAAATGAAAAAAAAAAAAACTCAAATGGCAGAAATGTAAGAAAAATAATGAAATCATTCAACAAAAGTTCCAATCCTTCATTTTTCATAAACTCTATTAAGAATGTGATGTCACTATGTGATTCCCAGCAGACTGTTCTGAGCTAAGTGAAAATCAAGTATTCTCATAAATAAAACCGGAAGGCTGACTTCCCCAGGCTCTACAAATGAAAGCTTTCCTTTAGTCAAAAGTTCAGTTTTGTGTCATTCAGGAGGTAGGAGTCACTGAGAAGACATTGCCACACTTAGGGAATGACCCACCATGCACTCCAGCACAACATGTCAAGGGACCTGGAGGGTGGTCCCGTGAGTGGACAAAGCCCCAGTCTAGGTCAGCAGGCTTCCATCACAGGAGCCAGATGTGATCACTGGGGTTAAGGCGTGTGGGAAGCAGCTTAGGGAACCCAGCTGTCAGCATCATCACTGTCCTTTGGAGGAGTTGCATTCATGCCTGGCTACATCATGTCCCTGCCTCCACACCTAGGCTCTGAAGACCTTTGGACTAAGGACTTACTTGAACCTAGTAAGAATAAAGAATTCTTCCTGCCAAGGAAATATTCATAAACCTACAAATGGCCTAGGGTTGAGAGGTCATGCAAAGCATACTCTTGTGTTCTGTAGCCATAGTAGGGCTTAAAACTGGCCTGCAAGTGCTGCCGAATCTAGAAGTTCTAAAGAAAGGTAGGCAGGGATGCACAGGTGTGTGCGTGCCCATGTCCAGAGTAGCCAAAATATGGGGGTAATCCAGTGTTCTTTGGTGGAGGGATGTATGACTGATGGTGATTTGTACACTGAGAGCATCCATCCCGAAAGAGAAGAGATGCTGCCATCTGACCGGGATAAACACTGAAGGCGTGCTACTAGATAAGTTCAGCCAGTCATGACAGGGCAGCTACTGTACTGTATGAGCCCACTGACATGACATATCAAGAGCAGCAACCTTCCTGGAGAAAATGGGTGTGACCAGGGCAGAGGGGAGGAAAAACTGAGGAAATGAATCCAGTCCAAGCTAGGTATAGGAAAACCTTTCTAGAAATAGATGGTATAGTCTATATTCTGCATCGCCGATGACCAGCAGAGGGCTCCTCCTGGAACAAGCCTGTGGGTCTCCTGGGTCACAGAGCGGGAGCAATACAAGCCCAAAGATACAGAACACTTTGGGAAAGGATCAGGGCCTCATTAAGTGTTCTCAACCCGTCAGGGCAAGGTCAGGGGGGCTGGAGAACCCAGGGGCACTAGAGATGCTGAGCAGAGAGGAGCATGACCACACAGGACTTCTAAGAGACAGCCAACTCACCAGGAGGGGAAGATGAGTCTCCATAGCCTTTCATGTCTATAGCTAGAACCCGGAAGCCTGCCTGGGCCAGAGCTGGGATCTGGAAAGCAAAACAGTTCAACGGTCTGGCAGCGTGGTCTCACCAGTTCTTAGCTGATGGTCCTTGTTTGTATCCCTTCCCACTTCTTTCTTGTAAATAGCTCCACTTAAAGTGCCACCTGCACTTGTTAGTCTCATTCCCATGGAGCTAGAAGGAACCCATCTCATAAGACTGCCGTGGACAGAGGTGAGGTTGCACACTGGATCAAAATCACACTGAGCAGAACATCTTGTTTAACAAAGCCCCTGCACATTTCTGTGCTCATTACTAAGATTCTCAAGCAAGAGGTGAAGAATGTCCTCAGGAACCTCCTTAGAATTTGTACAGGTGTCTTGAGGATCAGCACGGCCCTGAGGTACTTCTTATACCCAGGATTGTTGAGGTCTTGTGGTCAAAATTTGGAGATGATTCGTCCATAGCATCCCAGGTTAGGCCACGGCATCTAAATGCCCCCTCTCCTTACCCAGATGGGGAGCACCTCCCTCAGTTTCCTTTACCTGGTACCTCCAAGAAAACCAGCTCTCAGGAAACCCATGGCAGAGGCACACAGCAGGACCAGAGCCCATCTCCACAAAATGCAGGCGGATCCCTGGCTGTGGAAGAGAGGGGAGTGACAGTAATCTTGATGCTAGTGTAGGCAAAACTGAGCTCACTTGTGTAGACAGCATTCCACAAGTCATTGCAGGAGACGGCCTGACCCAGCCACCTCAGCTGAAGAAACAAAGGCTAGGTAACAATGGATGGGAACTGTCAGTGACCAGTGTGGATGACATACTAGACAGTTTTCACTACAATGTGAAAAGATTATGCAGTTGGGAGCAAACAGAATCAAAACAATTCAGCTTCCTCTCCAAAGTGACTTGGTACTGGCAATATCTCATGATTTTCAACTGGGGGCTGATTTTGGATAAAATAATTGGTGATGTGTAGAATACTATGTCTGTTTTATGAAAAGCTGTCTGCTTTGTGTATGTGTGTGTACGGCATGTATGTGAGGGAACATGTATGCATGTGTGACTCCTAAAGGTCAGCTTTGATTATTTATTCTGTGGTGGTCTGAATGAGAATAACTCACACAGGCACATATATTTAATGAATTGTTCTCCAGAAGGTGGAACTGCTTCAGAAGGATTAGGAGGTGTGGTCTTGTTGGACGAGGTGTGTTACAGGGGGTGAGCATTGAGGTTTCAAAAGGTTTGTTCTATTCTCAGAATGCTCTCTCCACCTCCTGCTTGTGAATCAAGAAGTAAGCTCTCAGCTGATGCTGTAGCCACTTGCTGTCAGGCCTTTGCTCAACTCACATCAACTCTAACCCTCTGGAACTGTAAGCCCAAATAAACTCTTCCTACTATAAGTTGTCTTGATCATGGCATTTCATCACAGCAGTAGAATAGTAACTAAGACACACTTCCTAGGAGCTGTCCACCTTATTTATTTATTGAATTTTAATTTTCTTTTTGAGACAGAATCTCTCATTAGCCTGAAACTCACGAAGTAGGCCATTCTTGATTGTCACCAAGCCTCAGGGACCTGTTTGTTTCTGCCTCTCAATGATTGTGATTGCAATCACACACCATCATGCCTAGCTTTATGTTTTACATGGAACAGTAAATGCTCTACTGACTGAGTTGTCTCCCCTCTCCAGATGTTTGCTTCTTAAATAGGAATTGTGTGCACAGTCCTTTTGGATGGCTCTATTCGCAAGACAACCATGAGGGTTTTCAAAAGTCCACATTATCTCTTCTCCCTGGCATATGCTGGCATTTTCTAGACCCTGGTAATAGTTGATGTGGTCACATGACCAAGTCCTGGCCCATCAGAAGAAAGGAATGCTCAACCACGGGCTCCAGCCACTCACCATGCTTTGTTCTCTATTGTTTTTCTATCTGTGGACTGACAGCTCAATGGTCCTTGTTATTTCACATATGTGCTGTGGTCAGAGAGAACTTGGCTGACTTACCTTCACTGTCACATACCCATGGCTGACGTCATTTGGATTGCAGGGCACTGGCAGAGGGGCTTCCGAAAACTAAAAGTATAATGGGCACAGTGTGAGACCCCAGACATCACCTCTGCTACCCAGCCTGAGTGAGTCCTGATGGTCCTCATGCCCTTCCAATTTGGACATGGCTGAACTCCATCAGCTGTCTAGTTCAATGGAGTCTTGTGACCAAATTCTGGCCAATGGAATTTGGACAGGACATAGCCCCCTGGTTAAGCCAAGAAAACCCACATGTGACTCTTTATAGTCCCTCGTATCCCATCTTCCAACTGGGTATCCTATGTGATTTTGGAAGCCCCCTATGGATGACAGTCAGTCCTCTGTCATCCCAAGTCCCTAAATGACTGGCAGTGTTCCACAAAGGCCTCGGGGCTACCAAATGAACATTATATGAGTTAGAAAAACACAAGACATAAATCTTTGTGGTTTCAGACCATCCTCCACAGAAGTCCTCAGATGGTCCAGGCTCAGGCCAGGCATAGCTACTGTATCTCTGTGACACTCTGTCAGAAGCCTCTCCCTTCTGTCAGCTGCAGCCTGACTCTGTTCCTGTCTTCAACTGCTCAAGTTCCCACCATAGAGTTCCACAGACTTTCAACAACAGAAGCTATTTCCTCAGTTTGGGAGGACAGAAGTCTTAGTTGGAGGTGTTAGCAGGGCCAGTTTCTCCTGAGACCTTGCTCTATGTTTATAGGTAGCTATCTCCCTCTGTGTTCTCATGTGTCCCTCTGCATGCCTGTGGCTTAGTTTCCATTTCTTACATGGAGACCAGTCATTTAGGTTGTTGTTCCCTCTTCTGGTCTTCTGTTGCCTTAATCACCTCTTCCAAGGCCCAGTGTTCAAATCCAACCATATTCTGAGACACTGGACATAGCCATTTCAGTATATGAATTTCAGAGAACCCATCCCTTGTCCTCTAGAGACCCAGGAGGCTTTCCCTGACTTGTCTTTGGATAACACATGGGTAAGAAGGAACATTCCAGAATACTCCATTGTTTATCTTACTGTGTCAGTTCCCAAAGCATCAATAGCAGAGGACAGGCTACTGAGCACACGTACAGGTAAGTCTTCTAATGCCTGAGCCCCAACTCTGCAGGCTATCCATCCTTCACCGCTACACCAGCCATCTCTAGTGCAGATGGGGCCACCTAAGCAAGCTGTCCTTCATGACTCTGTTGTCTATCCTATAAAATGGAGAGCTTAAACCTTGGAGTATAGTCCCCCCTTAAAGACAGAAGAAGCTACCTGGCTCAGAAGTGAGTCCCACCCAGGTCATGCCACAATATATATGACACTTACGGACATTATACCAAGTGAAACAAGCTAGAAATGAGAAGTCACACACTGTGATTCATGTATCCTGGCACCTGGATGTCAGTTTCATAGAGACAGAAAGTAGAGTGTAGATTGGGAGGCAGTATGAGCAGTTATTTAATAGGGAAAAGGTTTTGACATTTTAAAAAGGAAGAGTCTGGAAGCAGATGGATTGGGCTGCACAGCATTTTGAACCTACCTAAATGCTACTGAACTGCTCACTTTAAAATGATTACGACCTGTGATGTGCAGTACTCTGGAAAATAGCAAGCTATGGTTTGAGCTCACTGAGAGGCTGGCTCGGGAACTGGTGTGGCCCACTCCCACTTCAGACACAAGCATGTTTGTCTCAAAGTGTCCTCCAAAGCCCCTTGTCTGGGGTTGGGCTGTGTCCCTAAGTCTGTGACAGGGAGGGAAGAGAGGAGCAGAACATCCCAAGAGTAAAAGCATCATGTCCTTAAACAGTGAGAAGGTGAACCACTTCCAACACAGGGTTACAACTGTTTATGTGCCTGCTGTGGGAAGCTGAGCTATGAAGAGAAAGCTCAATGGGGAACTCCAGCTCACTTCCTCATCTTCCCAAGTTGGTTGCTGCTGGATGTCCATTAGCCCCTGGTTTAATGACATCACCTTTCTGCTATTTGTTCTTTCACTTGGAAGCCTCACCACAGGGACTCTCTGCTCTGTCTGGGACTCTTATTGGTAGATGTTTTGAGCACTGATTTGGTAATGTTTTTCTGTCTGTATGTCTGTCTACATACTTATACATTCATCTATCTCTTGCTATTTATTCTTTTACTTTGGCTTGCTACATACTTAATAAACTCACTCATTCAAAATCCAAAGCATGGCTATAGCAGATCATTCTCTGGACCATACAGCACACTTACTCATACCCATGGGGAGAAAGGACTGGTCTCTAGTTCACTGGGAGTAGGAGACAAACAGTGACAGAGAGACACATATGTATGCTTTGATTCAATTCAGCCTCAGTTTCCACTCTGCTCATAAGACTTCTGGGCATAGAAGGAGCAAGCCAAGCTTGGGAAAGATACATCAGGTCATGTGGTTGTTTATTCTGCATCTTTATTCATTAATTAAATTTATTTTATTAAATAAATTATTTATTGAAGATGTAAGCTGTTGCCTTATAAGCTGAATTATGTCTTCCCCTGAAGTGCATATGATGAACTTCTAAGTCCCAGTGTCTCTGAACATGATTGTATTGATTGACTAGACTCTGGTCAGAGCTCCAAGGATCTGCCTGCCTCCATGTCCCCAGAGCTGGGGTTACACACATATGCCACCATGCCCGGATTCTGTGTGAATTCTAGAGATTACAGTCAGTCCTCATGCTTGCATAGCAGATACTTTGTCAACTGAACCATCTTGTAGCCCTTAAGTGCCTTTCTCTTGTCTTAGTTTCCTGACTTACCAAAGGATGGTTTAAACTCTTACTCACTGGCTGCACAGAAAGAAATGGGGATGCTAGCCAGGGGTGTGGAATGCCTGAACCACGGGTGATGGACTATCTCCCTATGTCCCAGAATCACTCACAGAGCAGCCAGTGAGCACCTTGGTCTCCTTGCTGCCTTCTCCACTTGCATCCACTCCAGAAGAATGGCAGAAAGCCAAACACTGTCCAGACCCAGAGTTACCTGTGTCCCTGTGACCTTCTCCAGTTCTCTCAGAGCAGTGTCTGTGTCACGAACCAGGATAGTGACCATCCCCATGTCACGGGCTGGCTTCAGGTTAGTCCCAAAGTCATCTAGGAAAACAACCTGGACCCAAACAGTATGAGTGTCAGCCAGAGGCAGCATCTTGTGTGAGGAGACCATCAGAAGGAAACACCTGAGCATGGGGCAAGGGGCAGCTCTGTGGTGGGGAGATGAAGGATATGGTCCTCAGGATGGGGGTCCAGGTTCTGTTCTGAGCATCTTGTGGTGAGGTGGGTCCAGCACATGAAAGAGATTTCATTCCCCTTTAGGATGAGAGGATGAGATCATAATACATGTTTCAGCATAGTGACTCTCAGGACACTTAATGAACGGAGACAGGATTCAAGTGGGTTGTGGTGATTGGACGGAGAGGCTATGGCAGAAGGAGACTCACTCCCGATCACCCTTTGGTGGGGTGACTCTCACTAGCTTTGAGTTCTTGGCAAAGTCTCCCAGGGCCTCTGTTTCTTCATTAGTAAACTTGGGTAGCTGCTCTAACATTATCTGATGACATCAACAGCCACACAAAGGGCTACATCAGTGAACTGTTATAGACTGAGCTACAGTCAAAAACATCTCTTCTGACACAAGAGGAATGGGCCTAGGACCATGCTGCCAGTCCTCAAGTGCTCGCCAGTCTGTAAACTCGGTCAGTCCCTTGTTGCAAGATCTTGGTGACACCTTTTCCACTGAAAAGAGTGTCTACTTACCTCATTAGGTTTGGC